TATATATATATATATATATATTATTATATATATATATTACTTTTATACATGTTATTCATTAAAGGTCTATGAAATATCCTTTGAGTCTATTATTTGAAGCTTTCTTGCTGTGATCGCTTCCTCTAAAATAAGAAGTGTCAACTCTGTTCTGTTTATGGATGGCACATAAAGTGGCTCAATATTTCCTTCAGATATATAATTAAACTGATTACTCCTAACTAAGGGAGCAGGTTATAGAATGCATTGTGGAAAACTAAGAGTACATTAAAATTCCTTCAGAAACTTGGAAATCTGGTTAATATGATTTATATAAATAAAAATCTCAGCTCAGGTGTGAAATGAAAATGCAGGTATTCACTGACCCTACGCTCATAAAAACAGTACATTTTTAATGCTGCACATGTAATGCCGCATGGGAGTGATTACTTTAGGAAGTAATAGTGTTAAAGAGTTCTTTTTGTAAATGTTGCCAGAACTGTCATAATGTAATTATGGTTGATTCTAATTAAATTTGCATGTTGCGAAAATCCTATGCCTGGTATTCAAATAGATTCACAATCTAGCAGTATAAAACTAAACCTGTATCCAATACTTCCAGTTTACATGTGTATTATGCCACATAATAAAACATAATGTTGCACTACTCTCTTCTTGAACACTATACTTCAAATATTTGTCACATTTTGGCCCGGTTTCATAGACAGGGCTTAGCCTAAGCCAGGATTAGCAAATAGTTCAATTAGGACATTTAAGTAATTTTTTTATAAACATGCCTTAGAAAAATGCATTACTGGTGTGCATTTTAAGACAAAACAAAGGCACTGACATGTTTTAAGATCAGTCAGTGCAAGTTTCTTTCAGTTGAAACAGCTCAGATTTACATTTTAGTCTAGGACTAGACTTAAGCCTTGTCTGTGAAACCGGGGGTTTATGTGATCAGAGTTGGACCATTAGCAGCTGATGCTCATTAAGCTCATTTGAAAAATGCATTTCAGATGTGAATCCTTTAATCAGGTTAGCTATCAGTCAAAGTGCATAAGTATTTCCTTGAAGTATTCTACAGCATATTGTCAGAATGCCTTCCTTTTTGTTGTTTGTGGTTTTAGCTTTAGCTGTGTTCTTAGTGGCCCAAGCAGGTAACGTGAGGCTTATGCCAGAGAGTGTATTTTAACACCAAGCCTGTAGCATTTGCATTGTGCACTATATTGCTGAATTTTTTACACACTGATTCTAAGCCTGTCAAATTCACTTCACTTCAGCAGTCACTGTGGACTGCGGCAAAAACTCTGTCTCTGTACGATGGATTAATGTAAACTCTCAAGTGGATCCATCCCTCCTCCGCTTAGGTGACTGTCCTCCAACCCAACTTTCAGTAAATCCTCAAGGGTCCGAGGCAGTGTTCTATGCTGAATTTTTGACCTGTAATATTAGGAGGCTGGTGAGTTCGGTGAAGAATTTCACTGTAATTCCTTGTTAGTAAATGGTAACCGATTTGTCATCTGATTTATTCGTGTTTGGAAGTATGAGCCACTGAGCTATTAGTTAGTAACTCTTTCCTATGAGGCGCAAAGTGTACTTAACAGTTCTTAAAAGGGAATTCTTTGTGCCATATTCAAGTCTTAAAACTTTGGGTTGTTGGAGTTATTTGTACATGTAATAAGACATGGCTAGAAATTACTGAGATCTGTTTATCTGCTGTGAAAAGTAACACCGCTTGTTCATGTTGGATTCAGCAGTGCTCTATTACAAAAGGTCATGTTTATATTTTAATGCATTCAAATGGCAATGAAGTATAGAAAAGTATTAAAGTAATTTATTCTCTATTTTTCCCTCCATAGGTGACAACCAATGAGATTATATTTGAGACTGAGATCACTTCTCCCACATTGTCAAAAGCAACACCAATTTATTACCCTGTAGCCTGTGCATATGAAAGGTGACATCTTTGTTTATTAAAATGAATCTGAAGACCCTCTTTTAATGGCATATTGCTGCTTGAATACCTTTTATGATTAATGCAGATCAAAACTGCTGCCTTTCTTTCAGGGAAGAAGACTGGGCTCCTCCTTTGTACGATCCTCTGCTGTTTCATACACATGGCCAGGGAGATCTGGCATTTCGTATGGCTCTCATGAAGGGTATGTATGCACTTTGTAATGAGACGTTCTTGATGACTTGAATATGTAATGGTCTTACAGCTTTCTCTTTGTAGATGACTTCAGTGGTGTGGCCACTACCACAACCTTCTCACTAGGCTCAATGATCCCAATTGCTGCCTCAGTCGCCCAGCAGAACCATCAGCCATTAATACTGCTGCTGGATGAATGTTTGGCTTCCACAACACCAGAATTGGCTCCAGATTCTCATGTTTACCCACTCATTACCAACAAGGGGTATGTGTGTAGACAAGATGTGCCCTTTCTGAAGCCAAAAATGTTTCCATGTGATTAGCAGTGTTCTTAGTCTTAATGGCGCCAAAATGCTTCCTTCAGGAATGCTCTAACGGTTTATGGCGCCATCGACTGGTGAATTAGTTCAGTGACGCCTGCGCTCATTCGAGGCCAAGTTGAGAGACCATTTACCACGTTACAATTGCAGGTAAATTATTCAGATAACCGCCATTCGTAATAGTACATTTTTTGTCATAGTATAAACGACTTATTTTACCGCAGTCCAACATTTATAATGTTACAAAAGATTTCTATTTCAGATAAATAGTGTTCATATCGATATCGGAATTATATCGTATCGACCGAAATTAAGAAATATATCGTGATATCAATTTTGGCCATATCGTCCAGCCCTATGTCAAAGTGACATCAAACCCTAAGCTAACACAATTCTGCTATTTATAACTTAAGGAGATGCATTTGTTTCAGATCGCTATTGTTCAGAAAAGGCAGAAGGAGCGAGTCATTGCATTCTTAAGAAACAGGTCTGTGGAACTGGAACGAAAGGTGAAAGAAGTCCGTGATCAGTGCTACAGGTGGTAATTTGTGGCATATATCTAATATATATTCAGTGGCACTTTAAAAATGGGACTATTTAGTTATTTGTGTTTTATTTAAGGCAAGTGTCTGAGCTGAAACAAGAGAATGAAGAACTAAAGAAGCCGCTTTCTCAGAGGAGGGTGAGAGTTTCTTATTGCATGTCTCATGCTTCCCTTCTAACTTCCGTTCTCTTTGGATGTTATAATTTTTCTTTTCTCCACACAGACATCTCCTGGGAGGTTTTCAATTAATGGGTAAATACAGATAATTGTCTTTATGTGCATAGATGTGGGTCATAATGTAATGTAATATAATATAATACATTTAAAATATATTCTTTCCATATACAGAGGAACTCCAAGGATGATTCTTCCTGTAGCTGTCACATCACCAGGTAGCAAGTTTCGTAGCTTGAGACAGAAACTTCAGCTCCTAGACTGAAACACTGTATATATTGTTCTCATCACATTGTATTTCCCATTGCATTTCCAAAGTCACACCTCGCTCTAGAGCTGTCAGGTAGCTTGCATTCTATCATGTCAATTATTTTTATATAGTAGATTTGCTTTCCCCCAAATAATACTATTCAATTCTGGTTGTTGTGCAAGTTCGGGTGACACTTTGGAGAGGTTTAGACATTCCAGACTCGGCATGACAGTGAGTGTGCTCTACTATATTCTAGTATAAGGTGTGTTCAGTTTACAGTTTTTCTCGATTGCTAACACACTATAACTGATTCATTTGGCCCAGTTTTCCAAACCATTCATACGTTTCTCAAAACTTTTAACACATATCACCTGTTTCCAATTTGCTCAGTGTTTTCTGCAAAACTCTACACAAAAACGCCATCATTTTGCACAGGTTTAACCATGGCAAAGCACTATAGTTGACCATGTTCTTCTGCATGGACTGACATGCCTGTGGCTCTAACATCTGTGGTCATGAAGTCTTTTGAAAAACTGGTGCTGGCCCACCTGAAGGACATCACTGGACCCTTGCTGGATCCTCAGTTTGCCTACAACAGAGCAAACAGGTCTGTGGACGATGTGTATCATCTGAGGCCAAAGTTTGAGTCTGACAAAAGAGAACATGTTTTTGACTAAACTATTTGATTTTGACCTGGAAGTTTGAAGTTTGCACAAGTTGGTGTATAGTTTTGAGATTGTGTTTATAGTTGTGAGAAAATTGTGAATTTTTTCATGAATTGTGTTAGCAATCGAGAAAAACTGTAATATAGTCAGTTATCAAGTCATATGGAAATAAGAAATTGTCATGTGACTGTTTTACGTCTAATCTGTCCTAGACACCCCCAGGGTCATCCATCTCTATGTCAAGCGTGAGTTCAGTACATGAACATGGTTTCAGTAAGTGATGTAATACTGACATTGTCAATCATATCTCTCAGATATCATTTGAGTTCATAAAGTAACGATAATGTCAAGGTAGACACACTACTGTTTAGACTCATTGTATGCTTATGTTCTCTTTTTATCTTAAAGGGACACCCAGCTCAGTTAACACTCCCACAAGGTAACGTTTTATGCATTTACCAAGACTAAACATTTTTAATGCCCTAAATTGAAAGTTTTCACATTAAGCATTTGCACTGTCCATCTTCCCTTCAGTTCCAGCTTCTGGCTAGGCCTACACTCCAGTCCCCAAGGCCATAACCAATAATCATTTGTAGCTAATTCATGTCATTAGAAAGCCACTTCATCACTAATGCATTCACATCACCTAAAAGGAGTGATCTACTTCATCCATCCTTCATATCAGTAGATACAATTATATTGACATTAATTTATTTGAAAAATGCAATTTTTAGTTTACTGATTAAAGATGGCACAAATAAAGGCTGTATGGGCCATAAATATTTTTCATTTACGTTGGTCTCGGTATCACAAGTATTTTGCTCATTTTTTGAATGAGATTATTGTTAGAATTGAAATTACACATACAAAATGTAACCCTCTTTCATTTTCCAATGGAAATGTAATTGAATTTGCAATTGAAAGAGAAAACCATTAAATGTGATAATCAAAAATATTTCAACATATCAACATTTTTGTAAGCTGGGCTCAGTTACAACAAAAAATGATGTTAGAAATAAATCAGTCAAACAAATTGCATTTTTTTCCAGTTTATTATAACAGAAAACGTGAAACAGCTACATTACGCAAGGAATGGGAAAGAGGAATGTCTTGAACTCTTCAGCATCAATTTATCGTATAATTTTAATTAACAGCAGTTCATGTTAATTAATGTTCCCTTTTTATAGGTGGAATTTGATCACAAAACAGACGTAATTTTTTGTTAAGCATACCAAAAGATCTGGGCTGTGTTCCTCAAAAGCATCTTGAGCCAAGTAGATCGTACTAGCTACCATTGGTGATAATGGTTCTACGATTTACTTGGGCTTACTATGCTTTTGGGAAATGCAGCCATGAACTGTCAGCACACATAACCAACACTTGTGCATCTTTGTTGATAAGTGAAATACTGATTAATTTAAAACGTATGTTAATGCTAAATATAGGTCTACTTTAAATTATGTGAAGGATTTACAATTCATGCCATATTTTCCTAATGCAAATATGGTACCAATGGTATTTACCATTTTTTTGTAAATACACCATGAGACATCTTTGACATGATTGATGTCAAGAGGTTAACTGAACAGAATGCAACAGTGAGTTAAACATAATCAGTCATGTTTTATTTCAATACAATGTTTCGCCTCCCTGAAACACAAATTTACAGACAATAAGGCACAAGATTTTACAAAAACCATGGCTTTTGTTGTCGTTTCACTGCAGTGGAGTAGGGATGTATTCAAAGGAAATGTTTATACACAATGAAGTAGCATTGATGGATCCATAAACCTCTTAAGTGCAGAATGTTAAAGATAATTGGAGTTAAACTAAAAATTTACAAAAACATACCCTCGCATTGCTAAAGTTACTGGTCAAAAAAAAAGAAACTACAGTACCTAATAGATAACCAAACCAAGGTTTCGGGAAATCTAAACAGTTTTAATATCATATCAGTTCTAAGAAGCTGCAATTAAAGGCTCTAAAGGATTACTAACAAAAATACCAACAACACAAACATAGGAAACTGGAGGAACAGCCAGTGGACAGATGACTCCCAGAGCACCACAGGAACATTACTTAGTATTTGTTAAAGACCAAAAAATACATTTTACATTTCAATACTGCCTGTCGTTTAACAAATTAACAAATCATGTAGGGTGTAAAAAAAAAACAAAAAAAACTTCACATTGCTATTGTTTTTTGTTTTTTGTTTTTTTTTTTAAATAGAGGGCACTGCATGAAGTGATTTTATACTGTGCCTTCAAAGGGGTTTCACAGCAGATTAACAGACGTGAGCACAAACCGTTTTCATTCTTATATTAATCAATCAATAACAGTGATCTCTGTGTCCAGTGTTGTACCGCCTTTAGATGCAAACCAGTCTCGGACCTGTTGATAACTCATTTTTGTCTTCCGGCAGAGATTGTCAAGGTCTTTCTCTTGGAGTGGTCCGGTCTGTCGATAATACTGCTTCAACGGACTGAGGTCTACAGAATCTGTTGCAGACTTCTGCATTTTTGGTGTGCTGTTCCCTTGTGACTTACGTTTCCTATTGCCTTCACTTCCTGGGGTTCCAGTGGCATCGGCAGCAGCCCCTCCACTTTGTAACAATGCTATCTCAGCAAGCACTTGGTCACGTACGTCAGCATGCACCCAGCGTACATTGCCATTTTTTACAGCATAACGTGTGTCCCCAAACCACTGGATAATGTCAGCACGAGGCAAAGATGTTAGTTCCACTATCTGTGTGTATACATCACTCTTTGGCCATGGGCAGCGCTGGAAGTATTCCTTCAGGACAGCCAGTTGCTCCTTTGTTTTCCTTAGTCGTCCAGCCACTGTTAATACTGAAGAAGGTGAAGTGTTATCCGAGGAGTTTAGGGAGTGGTTCAAAGCATTTGCTTTGGCAGAGCGTGCAGATTTCAATGACCTGCCTGAGCGTTTTTTAGATGGGGTGATTGATGGAGAAGAAGAGGAAGTGGGTGCAGCTGGCTCTGGAGGTGTCAAACAACGTCCCTCACTTTCCTGTTCGCTTCCAGCTTCATTAATCTGAATCTCACTTTCCTCTGAACATTTCTCCTCATCCACAACTAATGCTCCTTCTTCAAATGCCTCAAGCGTGTTAGACAGGAAAAGCTGGAAAAACTGAGAATTCTTTGGCCGATTCTTTCGTGACCCTTTCACGCGAACCTTTTCCTTGCCTTCATCATCAGCATGCTCTGTTGTTTGCTTTTTAGTAGTGAGAGGAAGAGGCTGAACCTCCTGAGACTGAGATGATAGACTGCAGTTGGGTTCATTTTGTTCTCCTTGAGTAGCGGAGAAGGATGTTGACAACCCTCTACCATTTCGCAGCTGGTAACGACTGTCACTAAACCATTTTCGAATCTCATTACGAGTTAGGCCTGTCTCCTCTTGTAGGCGCTGAAGCTCTGTCTCATCAGGCCAATTCTCCTGTAGAAAACTCTTACGCAAAGCAGCTAACTGGGCTTTGGACTTTTTGTAGCGCCCCTGCCGTGGCTGCTCAGATCCAACAGGAGACTCTGTAGAAGTAGGTGGAGTGGCTGCTTGAGGCGTTTCTGGGATTTCTACTGGCTGTCGGTAGTAGTACGAATCCTGGGGAGGTGGGAGAGATGAACAGAAATGTGAGGGAGCAGGAAAGAGCTTTGCTGGTTCTGTGCTTTCAATTTTATGTCTTTTACGAGGCACTTGTGGACTTTGCGCTAGATCTTCTACATGATCTTCTGTTTCTTTTAAATCCTCAATTCCATTTTTCCTCTTTGTACTGCTCTCTTTGTGTTCAGTTTCACTTGTTCGCACTGGTCTAGCCAGCTTGAGCCGCGTCTCTTCAATGTCCTCCGAGGCCCAGCTAATTCCATACTTGATGCGTTGCACCATGAACCACACTTTGACTTTATCTAGGGGAAGAGCGCAGACACGGGCAAGGGTGCTGACCTCTTGAGATGTTGGATAGGGGAAGATGTTGAAGGCCTGAACAAGTTCAGGGATACCATCCAGCTCACGTGTTTGATCAGACTGGGTCCACACTAGCTTTAGTCCTTCAGATACCAAAGGAAGACATACTACGGAGTTATTATTAGTGCTAAAGCTTACTGCAGCACTGTTCTCTCTTGGTCTACGATTAGAGGGGCTCGCATGTTCCTTTCCATCAGAATTGTGGTGGTATGGTGATTTTTGCTGCCGTGGACTGGTGAGGCTTCCATCTTGTCTTTTTGCTGCCACCCCTCTCGGAGAGATAGCTTTCAAGTCATGGTCACTGTGCGTCGCCATCAGAGATGTCATACCTCTATTGCCGCAGACTGTAAGAATAACAAAGAAACAGAGTCAGCT